GTTGATTAGATTTGCTGGATTTACCTAACAAGGAGCTGTGGGGGTAGAAGCTTGTGTGTGGAATCAGTCAGGACCTGGTGTATTTCTTTCATAGACCTTTGTATTTAAAAGTTAACCGAGTCCTGACTAAATGAGATTTTACACTCATGTGCAAAGTATTTGAATTGTGGAAGGTGGACTCTTTTTTTTGGTTTGGTGTGGACTGTCTGATTTTCTTTATTTTGTTCACAATCCTGTGCGAATTCATTGCCTTTGCTGGATTTAGCTAACAGTCAGCTGTGGGCTGGAAGCCTTTTGTTTCGCGTCAGTCAGGACCTGGTGTGCACGCTTTTCTGTTTAAAAGTTGAGTTTGGGGCCTGAACAAGTTTCCAAAATGTGGACGCTCCAGTGTGAAGCAGTTTGATTCTGGAAGGTGTGAAGCAGTTTGATTCTGAAAGGTGCGTTCTCCTCTTCTGATTCAGATTATGGTGTGGACTGTTGGCTTGTTTTTATTTTGTTCGCTCATTGGATTTGCTGGATTTAGCTAAGAATGACCCGTCGACTAGATTGTCCAGTGAATTAGGAACTAGTGCGTGGGCCAGTGTATTATACCGTCCATTTGGCCTAAGTGTTCCATTTATGAGAAGTGGCTTGATTCTGGATGAGTGTATGATATGTGCATTGCTTGGTTTTTAAAAAATCTCATTTCAGTTTTGTGTTCACTGTTTAAAAGTGCCAGATAGAGCTATCCCTGAACTGTTGGACAAAAACCTCTTGTGTAGAGTCAATCAAAACCTGATGTATTTAAAAGGCCTCTGTCTTTTAAAGTCAGTTAGGACCTGCCTTCACATTGGAAGCTGATGTGTAAAGCAGTTGGATTCTATTCGATGATAGCTTCCCTTGTTTGGGTTAAGGGTCCGTTGTGTGGTTTGGTTGTTGTATATTTGCTTTGGTTGTTTTTTATTCTGTTTCCACTGGTGTTTGAGCTGATTGGGTTTGCTGGACTCGGCTTACAAGGAGCCGTGAATTGGAAGGTTTTTGGGATCCATCAGGATCTGGTGAGACAGACCTTTGTATTTAAAAATTATTTGGGGCCTATCTAAATCTCCTCTATAGAGGTCATGTGCCAAATGTTTGAATACTGAAAGGTGATATCCTGTCTTGCTATGGTTCAGGGCTGGTTGTGGACTGTTTGGTTGGTTTTGATTTTTTTTTTTAATTTACACACTATCTTTTTTTTATATATCACAACTAAGCATTACACACTATCTTGTAAGAGCTCATAAGATTTCGTGCATTTAGCTAACAATCATCTGTGCGCTGAAAGTCTCTTGTTTGAGTCAGTCAGGCTGGGTGGGGTTTTGTATTTAAAAGTCCACAGGAGCTTAAGTGTGTTTCATTTGGAGACATACATGTGAAGTGGTTTGTTTCTGGAAGGTGTTTGGTTCAGGGTCGGGTGTAGATTTATTTTTTTTTTAGTTTTAATTTTGTTTACAATTATTTGGGATCTGATTCACTTTGCTTGCTTTAGCTAAAAGTTCGCCGTGCAATGGAAGCCTCTTGTTAAGAGTCAATCAGTACCTCATATAATTTAAAAGGCTTTTGTCTTTAAAAGTTGATTTGGGCCAGATTAAATCTCCAGGTTTTAGGGTCCTGTGTGAAAAAGTTGGCTTCTGGAAGGTGGATTGTCTTATTTTGATTCTAGGTTGGCTGTGAATTACTTGGTTGGTGGGGGATTTTTTTTTTGTTGTTGTTGTTGTATTCTCGAGCCTGTTCTACCTACATTACAAATTACAGCATTGACCTGAGTCCAGAAACTCAGAATCTTCACAAAGTTGAGAACATTGGTGCTTTGCTCAAATTGGTGCAAGTCCTGCATCAGATTATTCTGAATTTGGAACTGGTATTCTCAACTAGGTCAGTGATTTCAGGAGAATTACTGTGTTTCCACGCAGGTAAACCACACAGGAGGACATCCTTTATATTGCATTTTCAGAATTACCTAATTCTTATGCACTGCAGCTTTGTGTGACTTCGAAGACACATGTCATAGAACAAGCCGTCTTCCCACTGGGGTCAAGCCCCTGTGTCTATGCTACCTCTTCTTGGGTCGTAGATAAGCCACCTAACTGAAGCCCAAACCCTCCCTGCTTTTTTTTTTTACTGACTCACCATTTCCTCTTCATTTTGAATTTCAGGTCTGTCCTGAGGTTCACGCGTGCTCATAGCAGGCAACTGAGGACCAAGACGGACCGTCCGTCTTCAATTTCTGTCTGTCCCAAGGGCAGATTTCAGCCACTGCACCAACCATTGTCCATCTCCCTCCACAATAGCCAGTGGTGGTCAGGGACAGTCTTCTGAAGCCATCTCTTAATAATAAGAAGACCTTCTCTTACAACTTCAGAAGGTGGAAGGAAGAAATGGTAAGTCTAGGGAAACATTGTCTTCCAGAACCTTCCAGAACTCCATGCTGTTGGATAGAACATGTTGGGAGACCCACTGTGTTCTTAAGCATTTCCCCAGGAAGGAGAAAAAGTCTAAGAGGAAGACCCTCCTGGAATAGTCCTACTAACTCCCTGTTCCCTTCAAAACTCAGCCTTGTTTTTATCCAGACTCTTTCATTATAATGATGTCTAAGGTCACTGTCCTAACGTGCCCACACACATGGCATTCCAAGATGCTACTTCCATCATCATTCTTTCGGTTTAATGACCAGATCTCCTGATCTGAACCTAAAGATGGCCCAGCAAGTTTTCCCACCTTGTTTGATGTTGTGGGCCATCCTTTCTTCTCTTTTCCCCCAATGAATTCATTTTTGTATTTTATCTTAAGGCTCACAGATATGTGGGCAAAATAGATGCCTATTTGGAATCCGTCCCCTTCTATATATGGTTTGAAGTAGCGTTTGGTGTGCATGTTGTTGTTATGTGCCATCGAGTCACTTGCGACTCA